TCCCTAATAAGATGCAAAAGTTCAAATTCCTTGCGAATAAGCTCTATTTTTGGATGACCATATAGAAATTTTCCAACCAAATTCGGACGACAGAAGGAAGCAAGTTGTATACATTCAGTTTCTGTAAAAAGAATGTTAATTTGAATAAGAATGTGTCTACCATCTAATAGTCCAATTTGTCACTCCCTAATAAGATGCAAAAGTTCAAATTCCTTGCAAATAAGCTCTATTTTTGATTTGGAATAATCATATAGAAATTTCTCAACCAAATTCAGATGACAGGAGAAAGCAAGTTGACTACTTTCAGCTTCTGTAAAAAAGATGGCAGGCTTCCAATTCTTCCTACCAGGTTTTTTGATGTCTTCCTCCCACTCAAACGAAGAAGGAAAAGAGCACGATTTAGGTGTACTTGAGGCGTGGACACCCGTGAGGGCAGCTGCATATGATCTGTTTGAAGTCATCCTCAAAATAAAGTGTGGCTTTAAGAAGAAAACACGGAAAAGTGGCGTCAACAGAAGAAGCTGAAAAGGAGAACACGAGTCGCACTGCAGAAGAGCCGCAGATCAGAGACGGGAAGCGTAGACCGATGAAGCTGAAAAAGGAGAAACACCGGGAGTTGCACTGCAGAGAGCCGTAGAGAGCCAAGATGGGAAGGAGTCGCAAAAGCTGTTCGCGAGACGGGAAGGAGCGGGAGCCGCAGAACTCGCGAGACATGGAGCGGGAGCCGCAAAAACTCACGAGCGACCACAGAGCTGAAAACTCTCGCGAGACAGGAAGGACGCGTCGCAGATCGCGAGACGCAGGGACAGGCGCGAAACCCTAAGGTGTCGACGTCGGAGAAGAGGCAACGTAACAATTGGTAGGGTTCGCCATCAGGCGAAACCCTAGCAGAGGCGAGCGGGAAGGAAGGCGAAGCCATTATATATAAAATGCCCGCATACATCTATATGTGTGTATGTATATTTTCTTTAAGTTTCTCATGAATTTTTATGTATTTTCTTTTTTTGAATCATTTTCATGTAGTGGTTATCGTGTGAGCAGGGTGTCATGTTTGGGCCCCTCACATAATCTATATGTATCCTAGTTTCTTTTTAATATATTAGCCACTGGGCTTTCTAAAAAAAAAAAAAAATGTATATATATAACATTCACACATATTTACATGGGCAAAAGACTTACTGAACATGTAGGAAATCTCTGTTTATATCAATAAAGTATCTCATATTCACCTTCACTACCAAACTTACAAAGAAGCTAGACTTGTACAAATCAACTGTACTCGTCATTCAAGCATACGAGATAGCCTCACAAAGAAATGGCCAGGACAGTGAGACATTTTGATACTATCATAACTGCTCAAGATGGAAAAATTACTCCAAGTTTATTCCAGAATAAAGCAATGAAACTTATTTTAGCAAAGCTACCATCTAGTAAGGAGGTATCATCACTATTCACAATTCATATTTTTCTCAAGCTGCTTGGATGATAGAAATTTGAGAGAAAGGAAATGAAACAAATGGTTGAAAACCTCAAGACAATTTGTAGATTCAAAATCAATCCATAATTTGTTAGGACTAAACTTCATTTCATCCACAACCTTCAACCCAAGGAAAGCCTGAATGTTGATGTTTGGCCCAAATATATAATCTTATTTCAATTAGAATCCCCCGATCAAGACATCATATACATGCATTCAATTTTCCAATCAATTGAAGCAAGATCACTATTATAAAAGTATTTGCTTACATGAAAGGATGAGTAAGTACCAACCACTCAAATAAAAGGTCAATTTCCGCATTAAATAATCTAATGTCTAAAAATATAATTATCAGGATTACATTTGTTTCTCTATAGCACAAAATATCAATTTTTATGAAAAATACTGCTTGATTAATAGTTTACTCAAACATATTATTTTTTCTAAATAATGAATGATCCATGTAATGCTTCCTTCATAAAGATTTGTTGTCATCTTTTAAGGAGAAAAAAACACCTCTACTCTATCAAAGCTATATGAGTTTTTGTGCAATTGCGTTTTCCAAGGTTGTGAAATTGTGGAGATGGTGCATGCATGCAAAATAGCGCTTTAGCTGGTTTTTGAAAAGCAGCATAGCTAAGAAGCCATTGTGATTGTCTATTTTATACAACTCAAATAAAATTGTGACCCAAATTGATATACCCTTTTACATAATAGTAAGATAAATAATTCCCGAATTTAATGGTTATCAAGTACTCATATTAAAATGAATTTATATACAAGTATCTTCGGCTCCCACACTCAGCTCTGCTAGGGTTTCGACCATGTCGAACCCTAGCAGCTCTTATCGCATACGATCATTTCCTTTCCTCACATTTCTTCTCCGGCGTCGTCTCTCCGTCCTGTGGCTCGCGTCCCCGACATTCAAAGCCGACAGAGTTCGCATTTGTTGTGTCGTCTCTGTTCGATTTCGACGCCGACAGGTTCGCACGTTTCACACGTCTTCTTCGGTTCCTGTCTTCTGCGCGGCTTTTTCCGCGGCATTCTGCGGCTTTGCTCAGACGGCTAGTCATTCCTACCCTCTGACCGATTCTAATTGTTGTGATGGAGCTTCCTTCTTGTTCGGTTGAACCTGGCAAAGCGTCACTTGCCCACGTGGTGGGTAATCCTCAGGTGGAGAAGACAGTTGTCTTCCCCTCAAGTTATAAAAAATATCGTCAAGTTATAAGGAGAATCGTGATGATACAGGTGACTGCCCATTTATTAAGAATGCAAGCATGAAAAGTGGGAAAACAACACTCTTTTTCTCGGAGTTAAAAATTTTAACCCTGACTGACAAATTCAAATTTGCTCTTATTGAAAAATTTCAGTGAGGGCACCCACATATGGAAGTTATCAGGAAAAGTCTTGATGATCTCAAATTAGCAGGAAAGTGAAAAATGGGGCTCATAGATTGGAGACATGTATTGATTCAATTAACCGTAGTTGAAAATTACACTCGGATTTTCTCCAAAAAATATCTTAGCATTGCTGGCAAATCAATGAAATTACTCAAGTGGTCTCCTGATTTTGACCTCTATCATGAATCTAGTACTGTACCAGTATGGTTCAGTCTATCAGGTCTCAGGCTGCACTTTTTTCATCATCAGATTCTTCACTCTATTGGGGTCATACTTGGGGACCCTATGAAGCTAGATCTACCGACTTTCAACCTAATCAGACCTTCTGTGGCCAAAATATTTGTGGAAAGAGATATTACTTTACCTGATGTTATTGAAGTCTGGTTGGACACAACTCATAATGGATATTGGCAACAAATCGTCATGGAGCATAGACTGTTTTATTGTTCTCATTGTAAGATGTTTGGGCATACACTTGATAAATGTCATAATTTTCATCCTAATTTAAAATCTAAAAATCAAGTGAATAAGGATAGATCTAATCTCACTACTCCGGACATATCTGTTCCATCATGAGAGAAAGCTACCACAGATCAGGTTTTGGATATTGCTAAAGATCAGTTATCTAGCATCCCTGCTGAGAAGGTGCAAACCAATCCTCTACCCAACATCGTAGTTTCTGATGAAGAACACCATACTACAGGTACAGATCCGAAAGTGCAAAGTGCTTATATCACTCACCGTTATTAAAGAACTCACTTACATGTCAAGACACACGCGAGTGCTCCTTTGATTCAATCAAAGATCAACTGGTACAACAAGCAGTTATTTCTAATGTTCAACATCCTACACATGTTTGACACATTTTAGACCAATCCACTGATCAGGCGCGCCAATGTTTGGATCAAGCCAATCTTCGGATGAGGAATGGCAGGTCTATTCCAGGAGTAAGAAGAAGACTGGAGGTCGACTCAAGCTTGGGAACTTATTGGATGATACTTTGGTCACTACTGGCAATGGCACTCATCTTACAAATTTATTAGTTGGCTCCTTTCCTAGAACTAGATGCAGAGGCAAAACAAAATTGAGTCGCTCACTAGCTACCTGATACTACGTTTTTTAGGCATTTTTTGTTTTTTTATTTAGGTCTCCTGTAATTTTCTGTATTTTCTTTTTTTTTTTGGAACTATTTGTATGTGGTGACTATCGTGGGGGAAGAGTGTATTGTGGGTCCTTCCACACAATCTATATGTATCCTTATTTCTTTTTAATATATTAGCCTTTGGGCTTTCTCAAAAAAAAAAAAATTTACAAGTATCTATGGCAATTTCATGAATCATAGCCTCACAACCTCACAGTTATATGAATTCATGCATTCAAGCAAAAGTATGTATATGAATGTATCTTTGTATTTTGGTACGTGCAGTGCTGTCTACGTTACCAGGAAAACAACGTATTGTGTTCTTATTGACAGTTAACGTAGATAATGATGGTTAAAAATCTATTGAAAATAACCAGCATGGCAGTTGGGATTAAAAATTAAGCCAAAAATCTTGCTTAAATGGACAAGAGTGCTCACTGAAATACAGCTCCAGAATAAACCTCAATTTGTGAAATGCTTGTGCCGGTTATATTCATTTTGAAACATGAATGGGAAGAGGGAAATTTTATATCAAAGAGCAAATTTTGTTTCTATGAGGTAACTCTGCAACATCAAAATTTTCTTGGACTTCATGATTGTTTCAAACTGATTTCTCAGTTGATTCTTAATTTGCTTAAATTTCACAATTCAACAAAGATTTTAATATATGTCATGCATAATTATAGGAAATGAAGTTTTTAAATGTTGGGTCATTTTCAATTAGTAATTTTAGGCATGTAATCTCAGATTCCACAAGCCTCCAGAATCTGGCATATTAAGATTCATTCTAGACCTCCATAAGATTGTTACATGCAACATTTAGAAAACAGGTACAAATAAATAAAAATATTATATGCTAGATTAGTAACTTAAACAATATGCTGATAATAACTACAAAAAATGTATATAGTTAAATATAAACTAGTAGAAAATCCATCATTAATAAAGCTAGAACTTTATGCCAGCAGAACAAATATGCAACCTCAATGCGCGATACCACCCCCTTTGTTACCGATATAGTATCACCACCAAGTGGGTATCCAACAACGGTCACTGCATCCTGCGAAATAATCGAATGAAACTTTATGAGAGAAGACCTCGCAGTATATCTCAATTACAATGGATACAAGAAAATATCAACTAAAAACTAAGTAAAATATAAGTTTGTGGGATCTAAAAGCCTGTATGCTCTCATTCACTCAATTGGAGTAGAGGAAGTATGAGCATTAGATTTCAAAAAAGTATGTTGAGTGTGAAAATGTACATGAGTACATCGATTGAGTTTAAGATTGCATTATATTAATGATTAACACATTTAGCTGATTGAGTTTAAGATTTCATTATATTAATGATTAACACATTTAGCTGTTAACTCAGATTGCAAGATGAAGAAGAGAGAGATTGAATGGGGAGGCCAAAAAAGCGCAAAGAATGTGAAAGTGGATAAAACAAATGTAGCCAAAGGGAAAGGAATAGAGGAGTGTGCTTTTGCAAGTAAAGACACAGAATGAGAGGATTATTAAATGAACCACAAGAGTTGTGTGCGCTTTATTTTTCCTTTTAATTTTCTTTTTCATTTTTTATAAAAATAATTGAACGGGACGTGAGAGGAGACGCCTTGCAGCACAAGTTCGATACTTTGGGAGGTATGAAAATCTGATGGGATGACTGCATAAAATTTAAATTTTTTATCAATATAAATTGAAATGAATATTAACATTTTATGCAATGTTGTGTTTAAAATGCATCTCAAATTTCATACAACCGACTCATGCATACTCGAATTTTGTGTTGCACTATCATGACACAAACAAGACAATATGGGTGTCTTTCCTTGGTACATTCGACATTCTACACACATCATGCATACTCGAATTCTGTGTTGCACTATCATGACACAAACAAGGCAATATGGGTGTCTTTCCTTGGTACATTCGACATTCTAGACACATTGGTGGAGTCTATTTTAGGAAAAGGGTGATGTTTATCTAATTGCACAACGTCACACCCATAAACCTTCGCTTTTGTCGATTGGCTATTTGGCAATGCATAAATTTTTTTAGGTCTTTTCGTTTTCAAACGTATCAAAAGAATACATTCTATGAAATGACTGATGTTTTGATATGTTTCATTTGTGTGACACATTTACTGCTAGAATGGTGCGACGTATAATATATTGGTTGTCGTTGTGATCATGTTCGATATTATAGATCTCAGTGGTCATCTATGAATGTTCTCAGTGTGAAGCAAATGCTCATTAAACAATTCCAATCACGATTGAGATGTTTAATTAATTTTGTGAAATGTTTGTTTAGTGATCACTATTAATAACAATTTCAATGAGGTCTAATTGTGTAATGTGCATAGGTAAACAGCCATATGCACTTCACCTACATCAAACAACAAAATTGAGGCTGCTTACATGGGAGGAGAGGGAGCTTGAGAGCTCTTAGGCTACACACATCTAACACCGTTCTAGTGCCCCTAGAAGCGTGAAAGGACAAAAAAGGGAAGATATGTTGCAGAACCGATAAGGAAAGTAGGAGGAAGGATATCGACTGAAATCTGGCATGAACGGCAGTTAGAAAGTGACCAAGAAGCAGAAAGCATCAGTTTTCTATTGTCAAACAACGGTTGGCGACAAGTGTAAACACGAAGGAGAAAAGATCAATTGTTGGAATACAAATTCGAGTTGTTCGGCTACTGTCCACAATAAAAAAAGCAGTCGAACGATAAAGCATGGGCAATAAGGAGGATCCAACACCTATTACTGGGCAAGCTACAAACACACCACTTACAAAAAAAAGAGACTACGATACTCAAAGAGCAGAAATCAAAAGAAATGCCTCAAAAATACATAAAACAAGCTAAATCACAAACAGCCAAAATACCATATATAAAAGTTCTCTAATAACCTAATTTGATACCGTAGTACGACTCTTATAATGCGTTTAGGAAGTGGAATCTGTGAGGAGGTGATTGGGGAATAGCAAGGGAAAGAATATATAAGAGGTCAACGGCATTTAGGTGGGGATAGGCATTGTTGATGACTGTTCATGCTGAAAATCAACAGAGAAAGCCACAAAATGGTGAGATAGAGGTGACAAGGAAATTACATAATCTCTTCATGAGAAAGATACAAGCTCGCCACTAGCAAAAGGAAAGGATATAGCACTCCTTAGATCATAAATCAGATAATACAATATCTCAAAAACCGGAAACAAAGCTCTCCAAACTCGGAACAACAAAACATCCACCTTAATAGTCTCCTCACAAAAAATAACCATAATTCGAAATAAAATAGGAAAAAAAGAGAGAAGATTCAGGCAAAAATTGTGGAATCTCGTTGATATCGGAGTTAACTCAAACCACATCGAAACAATGATATTATTGTTGAAATTCAAATGGGCAGTCACAAACAATAAACTGAAATAGAAAAACAACAACACAAACACAAATACCCCACTAGGCTGAGGTTCGAAGGTGGTGGTTGTAGTTCGAGGGGGAAATTGAGAGGTATGGGCGGTTGAGTGGTCGAGTGATAGCTAGAGGTGGGTTGTTCTGCATTTGGATAACAGCAAAAGAGCAGGAAGGGAGGTGGAAAGGTGGCGGCAGCAAGGAGAGTGCGGTTCGTAGGGCTGTTCAGCAGCTGAACAGTAGGTTATTGTGATTGTGAGGAAGTCTGGGAAAGGCGGCTGCAGATTGGTGTGGCCGCAAGGAAAGCTGGGAAGGTGAGGGGAGGGAAAGAAGGTGAGAGAATTGTGGGTTGCATGAAAAACTGCAAATGCTATTTTCCAGTGAAGGCAGCAAATATGGTGAAAGTGAAGGCGAAGGGGAAAGGAAATCCGTGAGGGAAGAGAAATCAAGGATAAATGTCCTTGGAAGATCGAACTATAGTAGGAACACCATTCGAGCCTTGGGACATCACGACGTCAGACGAGTACAGCCAGAACATATTCTCTCCTTCGGATATAGCCCCAAAAGGGAACACTGAAAACCGATGGCTGTTCTGAATAAAAAAACACGCCAAAATTGAAAATCAAAACACCGGAACCAAATACGTAAGCCCTAGGTAATTAGTATTGGGCCCACTTTTGAAAGGAGGCATCAAATCCACATAAGGTAGGTAGGTCAAACCTCAATTCAGTGTTTTGGTTGGTCCCAGGTTGCTAGAAGCCTTTTCCACGTCTGGCCTAGTTTGCGAACTGTAGCAAAGGTCAAGGGGAGCTTCTACGTCAGTCTCCCAGGATTATGGGAGCTTAGACCTCATCTGTCGAAGCTTTTGTTTCTTTATAATAGTCAGGTTGGCTCCTTTAAAGGTGGCGCAAGTGTTGCACTTGAATAGTGTCTTGCTCAGTGCAATAGGTCATTCCCGTAATTATGCAATCAAAAATAGGTCATTCCCCTAGTTGTATAATCTGATTCAATATAATCAAAACCGTGGCACTTTAAACACTTCATGGCTTGGACGAATTTGGGAATGTGAATTAGTTTCATCTGATCTCCACTTTAAACTAGCATCTCCTCATGTAGCGTCAGCTTCGAGGTTCCTCTAGGTACACTATTGCTGCTTGATTTTGAGGCTGAAATTTGCCCGTAAGATGTAGTGGTTGTTTGGCATTGTTACCTCTCCACTTTTGATGCTAGAGCCTGCACATCATGTATATAATATGTTGATAGATAATGGAGTTTCATCTCTCATTTTATCTTGGACTAGATAGCGAGCTTGTCTTCTCCCTTACGCTGGCGTATATGCTTCAAATTTTTCCACCAAAATAACTCTTCTTTAACCTGTTGGCAGCTAATTTCATCACTTTGTCTGGTGGGACGACTTGGTACTTGAACAAAATTTTCACGTTCTGGAGTTGCTCGATAAACTTTTTCGGATTCAAGTGGCTGTCAAAATGTGGCAAATCAACATTTACTTCAAAATTTTGACTTCTTAGATATGTCAGGTTAAATTTTCAGGGTAAAGGTTATCCATCCCTGACATTCATATGGTTGAAAAGATTCACTTCATTTCTTCAATCTAGCAATTCATCATTGTAATTGCGAGTGACCCTTACAGATTGCATCCTCTCGAAGGCAACAAACCTCTATTGTAGTTGAAGGATTTCTCATTGCACCTCCTCCATAGAAGTTTCGCAGGCATCCCTTTGAGGATTTCTCATGAACGACGTAATGGCATTTCCTCCTGTTTTGATCTTCAGCGATTATCTCTTTGGTGGCATGATTAGGTTTGGGGGTGTAGGTAGGGGTGTTGTAAGGTCTAAGGATGGTTTGAGTGGAAAATGAGACAAATTTTTCTGTGTGCGTGGGGGTGGGGGGCGGGAGGTGATAGATTTATGTATGGAGAATGCTAGAAAATCTAAGATATGACTAGGTTTTGGTTATCTCTGATACTAAGACACCAGAATTAACCCAAACTACAACGGAATAATGATAATATTGCTAAAATTCAAATAAGCAGTCACAAACAATCAACTAAACTGGGAAAACGACACAAACATAAATACCCCACTAAGGCGAGACTTGAAGATGGTGTCTACGCTTCAAAGAGGGAAAAAAATGAGAGGTATGGGTGGCCAAGTGGTCGGGTGGCAGTTAGAGGAAGGTTAACCTACGGTTGGATAATAACAGAGGAGCTGAAAGTGAGGTGGGAAGGTGACGGTAGCAAGGGGAGTTAGCGTTGTGGGGTTGTCCAGCGGTTGGACAGCAGGTTAGGTAGCTGTGAGAGAGTCCGGGAAGGGCAGTGGTAGGTGGGGGCGATTGTAAGGGAAGTTAAAAAGGTAAAGGGAGGGGAAAGGAGATGGCAAGGAATTGTGGGCAGTAGAAAAAATAGTAAAGGAGTTGCTCTCCAGTGACGACAGCAAATACGGTGAGGGCAGAAACGAAGGAAAGGTTGTGGGAGAAGGAAAATGGAGGATAAAAGTTTTTATAGGATCGAAATACAGCCAGAGCATCCTTTGAATCTTGGGAAATCGTCACCACTTAGAAGAGTTACAACCGAAGCACCTTCTCGCCTTTAAAAACAGCCCTAGCAAGGAAACGGTAAAAGTC